AACGTCCCATTCGAGAATTTTTCACTCATATAGAGACGTCACCATACCGGTGAAGGGCTTCAAATTTTGACCTTTACTCGACACTTAGGGCCATTGAGCAGTAAGGGATCTTTATCGTGCCAACGCCTGCCCTGACACGGGGCCTCGGTTTTTAAGGTCACATCCGAAGGACCCGCAACTTTCTTTCAAAGTGCCGAGCGCATGGCGAAGGAACAGTTGCTACCCATTTTTTATCGACTTAGGTCTGTCGCGGCCGAGATTCGAACTCACGACCTCCCGATCACGGAGCGAACGCTCTGCTGACAGAGCTACCGTGAACGGTGAATGTTTGGATGAAGATTAATGCCAAAAGTCAGTCTTGAAAATCATTACAAAAAGTGCATCATTTGACCATAAACCAAGGTTATCTATTGAAGTTAGACGCCACGTTCCTCAGTAAATATAATTTTACCCAAGAATTTGTCATTTAAGCATTGCTACTTTAACAAGTTTACTCACAAAAAGCTGAGATTCATTACCAGACAATTTCGCAAGATACCAGAGGACGGTGTTTTCTGTATAATCCTACTGGAAATCACTTGAATTGCCAATTTTATAATTTTTGGCATACTTCTTTATTCAGACAGTTTGAAAACAGTTTAGAAATCACAAGATGATGACAATAATTAGTATTGTTATATATTATGGAGAGATACAACACATATTTTCGAGGAACGTGCATGTCGTCTGAGCTTAAATACACTAGTTTACAGAATCCCTAAAAAGAAAGCGAATATCGCATTTAATATTTTTGGAACATTTAACATGGCATCACAATCATTACAAAAAAAGCATCATTTGACCAAAAACCAAGGTTATTTGAATACAATATTTTTGAATTGAATTGAACATATTTTATTGACAAAGTCAAAAGGATAAGACACAAGCTCTTTAACTAAGATAATCTTATACAAAATTTTACAAAATTGCCATAATACAAGTACCTGTACAAGTATTTGGTTCTATTACAAATATTTACAAAAATAGTGCCAAAAACTGAAAATCCTTGATATGCAAAATATAATTCTTTATAAAAACTAAGATCTTTAGGAAAACTACCACATTTGTTTAACAGAAGCTTGGATAACTGTAAAAAGTTCCACATCTTATTGATCAGAGAATGAATCATTTTTATTATTTAATCCTTCAATTGAAAACAACTATCATGTATGAGATTTTTTAGCACCTTTAGCTCATAGCAACAGCCAATCATTACAAAAAGTACATCATTTGACCATAAAACATATTATTTGAATACACTATTTTCGTGGTTTGCAGAATCAATTAATTGAAAACAAATACATGTATCGCATTTACGATTCTTTTTTTTTGGGGGGGGGGGGGAGGGGGGACATTTAACATGGCTTCAGACAATCATTATACGAAAATTGCATCATTTATCCGTTAACCGCTTGAAGCTTATTTGAATACAATATTTTCACGATTTGCAGAATCCCTCAATAGATATGCATTTTTTTTTTGTTGCACATTTATTTTAATTATAGTATAATATTCAATTTGACAGACACTCGCTAAAAAATACAAATTTGGAGCAGAGCAAACACGGACCTGTAAAAACATCAGAGGTGCAATGGAGAAGTAAACATTCCCTGTCGACCCGCCACACCCGCCGTGTGCTACTTGTCATGATCGGGCAAACGGAAAAATCCTCAGACAATTCATTGTGAAAATAATGGCCTAACAATCTGTATGAAAAACGCCAGTCAACATTCGACTTAATGTTAGATTGTATTTCCTGACAAGGTCATTGTATCGACCATAGAATTTGCGGAATGTTGACTTAGAACGAGACTGTTGATATTCTTGTTTCATCAACTTACTGTCATTAAATAGCCTCGTTTTAGAAATTGTTCGTACGTAGAGCAGGGATGGGGTAATGGTAATGTGTAATGGTAATTGACAGTAATTAATTACAAATTTCAATGTAATTGAAAGTAATGTGTAATTGGCCCAATTTTCAATTACATGTAATTGTAATTTAATTAATTACTTTTGAGAAAAGCATGTAATTCAGAATTACTTTTCAATTACATTCAATTACACAGGTGTTTAATACTTGAGAAATAGCCCCCCCCCCCTTTTTTTTCAAATCCCAAACACTTTATTCAAGAAAGGTTAACTGATTTTTAGGACAAAATGTTCTATAATATATTTTAAAAAATATGTATTTTCTTTATTTAGTGAATTGCTGTTTCCTCTTTCAAATGCATTTTCTTCAAAACTTTTTAATATTATTTATCTCCTTGTTTATAAATATATTAAATAAAATTAGTAATAATTTCAATTAAGTTGTTATGAATTGACACTTAAAATATCTAGCCCAATGGCTTCGAATCCTTTGTTTGCCATACCTACAGCTTGTGTAAGTAGTGATTAACAGGTGCTAATTAGTGCCCTAGGGTTATGTACATATTGACACTTAATTTTAACAGAGATTTTACACACATTTTGACCTTACCTATTGGTAGTTTTATACACATACATTGACTATGTCTTCCCACAAATCTTTTTTAAAATATATAATTTGGTGTTATAACACCAATTTTTCTATTTTAATAAAAAATTGTGGGAAGACAGTAGTTTAACACACAGTATGTCAAATACTGTAACATTTTGAGATGTATAGCTTAGGATGATGAAAAAAGCAAAGGAAACGAGACAAAATGCATCCATTGTTTTGCATAAATATATCAGAAAGCTTAAAAACGGACACATGAATTAATGGAAAACAGCATCCAGGTCCTGTAAAAGGACTGTGTCTCAGTTGAAAAATTGGCTCTTTTTTTTCCCCAAAATGCAGGTAACAATTCCCAACTGATGACCAAACTAAGAGACTTAGTTTCAATTTTTTGATGCTGTTTATATAAAGAAATAACGTGTTTTGAAATTTTCATCATTTTTAGATATGTATATGGGGAACAAATCTACTATTTAAATCTTTAATCAACTAATAAATATGTCAACAACATTTCCCAATTTTGCCACTTTTTCGATTAAAAATTCACAAAAGGGTACAGGATCCTGTACCAAAAAGGGTAATTAAGCCCTGGAACTTGCTATTAGTAAGTATTTATGTATTCCTGTCACAAATGCCCCAGTGTAAAATATCTTCATTGTGGCAGAAAAATCTTTAAACCTGATAGATGTAGGTTAGGGGACACAATATTTTAAAATTTCATTAACATCTACACAATGTTTACTTAATATAAAAAATAGTAACTGAAACTATATGAATATAAATGAACGTTCATGACTATTTATCATTTTTATATGTTTTTCTTAATGTAATTTGTAATTTAATTAATTACATTTGCAAAGGAATTGTAATTTAATTAATTACATTTCAAAATCCTTGTAATGGTAATGGTAATTTAATTGAAGGTTTTGGGCAAGTAATTGTAATTTAATTAATTACTTTCCTATGTAATTGACCCCATCCCTGACGTAGAGCATGCTCTTGTGTATCGAATCAACTTTGAGGCATAAACTCCATATGCAGGTGATAATGGTATATTACTACATAAATAAGGGAAGTTGTCAATTGGAAAGTTGAAGTCATCACGTTTATCATAAAGTTTTGTTGTTAGGTTACCATTAACGTTTTTTTTTTTTCTAGTAAAATATCCAAATATGAAACAGATATGTCAGACTCTGTGTATCTTTTATTTCGAGTTCAAAGGGATATATCGAATCAACGTAGGAATTAATGAAAATGAATATTGTTAATAATATTGATAAAACGTCATCGATACCGGTATATCTAAATGTTGAATTGAAAGCCACAGCAAGAGACTTCTTAGAAGTTGTTAAATAAATTCTGGTTATTCCGACATATTGCTGGAAATTCGATCCCCATATATCTATATAAGTTTTTTCCTTGGTAATTTTTATTAACGTTTTAACTACCATGAACGCAGTGTGAACGTACGTAGTTCTTGAGTTGTGTGTAACTTAAGTAAGAAATGTATGAGGCGCCGTTTTGGTATTTACTGCCAAAAAGTGATATCACCTATTCGAATAGGTGATACCACCTATTCAGTTGGTGATATCACCTATTCGAATAAGTGATATCACCTATTCAGCTTCTGAATAGGTGATATCACCTATTCGAATAGGTGATATCACCTATTCGAATAGTCGAATAGGTGATATCACTTTTTGGCAGTAAATACCAAAACGGCGCCTCATAGAAATGCCTTAATTTTCTATATAGATAGCATGCACCAAATTACAGTTAAAATCCGTGCAAAACGGAACATTGTTGGGCTGTAATAAATTGCGATTCTCAGGAGCTTACGGGGAAGACGCCCCTCCCCTTTGACTCTGCCCTGAACCCTCGTCGTTTTTTTAATCATTGTTTATCACAAAAGAATATGCCACTGACTGATTATCTAAACTTTACGATAGTGAACTGTCCAAAAGTGCGGGACAGAATAGCATTTTTGTCATTTTAAATGGTCTTGGTTTTTAATAGTTTTGTTTTGTTAAAATGCCGCTTTGAAAGGTACATTGACCATGTAGAGGGTGCGCACGACCCACTGCAGAATTGTTATGTAAACTTTAAAATAAAAATTTGGGATTTCAATGCATAAAACAAGTCAAAGTAAATTGAATTTTGTGATGTAACTAAACGACTGATGTCATTTTCTTATATCGTTATAGTGTTGGTTATAAGAATTGAGTAAGAAAAAAATGTAAATTCCCAAAAGTACATGTACAATGTACATGTATCTTATAAATGACACCGACTGTCTCGTGATCTGGTTTGGGGAAATGGGAGAAATTACACAAATTGAAATAATTTTAGAAAAAAAGGAAAGAAAGATAGGTAAATGAACTCAATATCAGCACTTCTTCCAAGTGTTGGGATAATCCGGAAATGTCCAGCTTGACGATATCATACTATTCTTTTAGTATACTTTCACTTTCAATAGAAAAAATGGCAGCTTCCGGGTTTTGTTTGGAAGCTGTCAAGAAATTTATGATTGATAATGACTGTAGAGTAACTAACCATGAACTGGTAACACACTTCAAGAGTTATTTGAATGATCCTGATGACAAAAGTGAGTTGTAATTTAACACATTTCTTTTGTTTATGAACTTGTGTTTATTTACTTTCTACATTGTTCTGTTGTTCTGATAATATGTGCATTTACCTGTTTACTGTGCTCGTAAATACAATAAATATATGCATGTAATATTTCCGTATATGAATATACTTTGTATGATAAACTTCCTCTGTTATAGTACATATTTGCTTATAATGTTATATACTGTAATTGATTGACTATACAGCTCTGTTTATTCTATCATTCTATGTTCGTCTATTGATTCAACAATCTTTTACTTGGGACAGCCTGGTCGATATAGATAATAATGATGTTACATTCAATCTTTTTTGTGTAAAGTAATGGCGAATACAAAAAATTGAAAACTTTCTAGGTTAAAAAACATGATGAATATAAACAAAATTATTCAGAATGACAGATGCAATGCAAGTTGGATTAATATAACAACTCACTGTCACAGTGCATCTAGTAATTATGGCTGGTTCATTCAACAGGTCTTCTAATTCCTGACCATTAATGACTTTCAGGTGGATCTGAATCAAGTTCTGGTCTTGCCAAGTGCTTTTTCTCCTGTCCTATTACATTTGGAATCCTTTTGACTCAATAAATAATAACTAGGGCTTTGTATTGAGCCAAAAAAAAAAAATGACAGATATGATACAATATTTCATAAATTGATATGCAATATACATGCATGTGTTGGATTCTTTAACAAGTGTATCAAAAAAGTCTTGTATTAAATCATTCATTGCATAAAATTTATAAAAAACTGAGTGTTTTATCATGTTTATAACCCATTTCAAAGTTTTTATTTGACTGATATTACAAATCACACTCCAAATTCCTATTCTAACGACTGTAAAACCAATGTGTTAAAATACAGTTGTCTATGTTATTTGTTATGATCATTTAAGATGTGCTATCTTCTTAATGTTTATATCATTATTGATCAGTTTTAATTCAAAACAGTTAAATATAATTTTCGGTGATTGAAATTCCCAACTTTTTCACAGAATTAAAAGAAAAACTACTTGCTCTATACATATAGGAAGTTAGTTATTTTTTAGATACTTTGCATTCTTGAATATTGGTACGTATGGATATATTGACACAGCCCTAATAATAACCTGCCAGAGAATTTATTTTCGTAAAGATATTTCTCTTTTGCAGCTCAAAAGTTTAACAGAGAGAAGTTCAAAGAATTTGTGAATACCTTAGCTGGAATAAAAACTGATGAGGTAAATAAACAGTACGACCTGTGTTATTTATCAAACTTTATTTGAATTCCTATGCTGAAAACTAAAATTTTTCAAGGCCAATCATGTTGTGAAGGGAGTGCAGCTGTAATCCCTAGGAGTCAAAATTTATTCAATTCAAATACATGTACATATATTATTGTATATGTATCACTTGTTATATAGCCTACACACTCTGTGTTTATCATCACTGAATTTCCTGTTTGCTGATGTGTGTGAAAGCCAGAAATTTAGTATTTTCTAGAGTGCTTCATGAAATTAAAAAAAAAATAGACTCAAGGACTACGAGTGTATAAACAAATCTTTTATAATGATTTCCTTTCTGTCTCGTGTTCTAGTCCAATTTTTTCCACCTTTTCACTTAAATTAGTTCTAAAGATGTATATATAGAGATAAATGCAACTTCTTAGGAGCATTTCAGCCATGCCAAATTTCAGTTCCTGATATTCTTCATGGCCTTCAGCATGGTTACATTTGTTATTCAGTATTTTTTACATTGTAAAAGACTACATACATGTGCATGTTATAAAGGATTCTTTAATTTCATAAAAGAAACTGGGGGGATAAGCCGAGCCATATGCCTACATGACGATCCATAAAAAATCAATAAATTCATTTTACAAAAAGTTCACTTTTTGTTGAATTAATGTAATGCTTATTACCATTTGCATACAAATATGACAAAACCTGAATACTGTAACAGCGAAAATGATTCTGATTAACAAAACAAAATGGCATCACGCTCAATTTTCACAGAAACTGACATAAATTGGATGATATAACTACATTTTTTAAATAGAGTGGGTCATCGTACCATTTTTTTGAGAACGATTAATGAAAGGCAATGGAAAGATGTTGCTTTTTACACTTGCAAAAATTTGGTATGAAGACCCACTCTACATAAAAAATTAAGTTAACGTACTTAACTTTTCACCGTGGTCTTAAAAAATTCTAAGTCCAAAAACGCTTGCTAATATAGAGAACTGTATGGTATTTAAATAGACATGTAAGTGTGACACCGTGGTCTAGTGGTTAGCGAGAAGCTCTTTAAAGGGATGTTTATTGAGGAAAGTGTTCGAGTCATGCTCTGATTTTTAGCTCACCTGAGCCGAAGGCTCAAGTGAGCTTTTCTGATCACATTTTGTCCGTCGTCCGTCCGTCCGTCTGTCCGTCTGTCCGTCTGTCTGTCTGTCTGTCCGTCCGTCTGTAAACTTTTCACATTTTTGACTTCTTCTCAAGAACCACAGGGCCAATTTTGACCAAACTTGGTACAAAGCATCCTTGGGTGAAGGGGAATTTAAATTGTTAAAATGAAGGGCCAAGTCCCCTCACAAGGGGAGATAATCAAGAGAAGACAAAAATAGGGTGGGGTCATTAAAAAATCTTCTTCTCAAGAACCACAGGGCCAGTAAAGCTGAAACTTATATGGAAGCATCCTGGGGTAGTGTAGATTCTAAATTGTTCAAATCATGACCCCCGGGGGTAGGGCGGGGCCACAATGTGGAATCAATGTTTTACATAGAAATATATAGGAAAAATCTTTAAAAATCTTCTTCTCAAGAACCACTGGGCCAGAAAAGCTGAAACTTATGTGGAAGCATCCTGGGGTAGTGTAGATTTTAAATTGTTCAAATCATGGCCCCCGGGGGTAGGGCGGGGCCACAATAGGGAATCAAAGTTTTACATTGAAATATATAGGCAAAATCTTTGAAAATCTTCTTCTTAAGAACCACTGGGCTAGAAAAGCTGAAGCTTATGTGGAAGCATCCTTGGGTAGTGAAGATTCTAAATTGTTCAAATCATAGCCCCTGGGGGTAGGGCGGGGCCACAATAGGGAATCAAAGTTTTACATTGAAATATATAGGCAAAATCTTTGAAAATCTTCTTCTTAAGAACCACTGAGCCAGAAAAGCTGAAACTTATGTGGAAGCTTCCTTGGGTAGTGAAGATTCTAAATTGTTCAAATCCTAGCCCCTGGGGGTAGGGTGGGGCCACAATAGGGAATCAAAGTTCTACATTGAAATATATAGGCAAAATCTTTGAAAATCTTCTTCTTAAGAACCACTGGGCCAGAAAAGCTGAAACTTATGTGGAAGCATCCTGGGGTAGTGTGTTCAAATCATGGCCCCTGGGGGCCACAATAGGGAATCAAAGTTTTACATTGAAATATATAGGCAAAATCTTTGAAAATCTTCTTTTTAAGAACCACTGGGCCAGAAAAGCTGAAACTTATGTGGAAGCATCCTTGGGTAGTGAAGATTCTAAATTGTTCAAATCATAGTCCCTGGGGGTAGGGCGGGGCCACAATAGGGAATCAAAGTTTTACATTGAAATATATAGGCAAAATCTTTGAAAATCTTCTTCTTAAGAACCACTGAGCCAGAAAAGCTGAAACTTATGTGGAAGCATCCTTGGGTATTGTTGATTCTAAATTGTTCAAATCATAGCCCCCAGTGGTAGGGCGGGGCCGCAATAAATATTACAAAGGGGAGGTTTTGTGAAGAACAGCAGGGCAAAAGTAACTCAGGTGAGCGTTGTGGCCCATGGGCCTCTTGTTTGATATATATTTTTTTTTTTGGTTTTAATTTTGTTTTACTTTATAAAAAATGTCTATATAGGAATAACATATTTTTCACTAGAAATAAAATATATACATGTAGTAATGAACTTATTTACGGTAAATTATTTAAAATGCCTGATAAAAATTATAATAGATATTTGAATACTTTTATTCCCGTTTTTATTTATTTTAAATAAAAGCGCTTCTAGATCACCATTATCACTATATATGATGTTAACAATTTTATAATATCTCCACAATAAGTGTAAACACTCAATATGCAGATTAATTAATAGAAGTCCTTACCCATGTTAGACATTTGTGACAGTAAATGAAAGTCAACTGTATAGCTTGTTTAGAATATAAATATCATTTTGAAAAGTACGGTAAACGTTAAAATGCTTAAGTAAATTCGAACAATTGAGAGATTTTTTCCAATAAATGTTCTTGCATAGCCGAAAAATAGGCATGGGCACATGGCTCATTTTATCCCCCCAGATTCTTTGTTTCTAAATCTTCTATTTCACTTTAACATTACTGCGACAAATCTGCTAAAGTGTTTTCCAAAAAAAAAAAAAAAAAGTAAGAAACTTTCAAAGTGGCCTCAGTTCCAAAAAAGTACCTTATTTAAATAAGTTGTAAATTATCATTATTTACATGTAGATAAATTTACTCGAATCCTTTCAAAAAACTACTTGAAATAGGCTTCAAAGCTGGTCAGTCATCTCATATAAACACACGCAGGGCATAGCTAGACAGGATTTAATATTATAGGCACAGATGTGATACTGAGGATTTCACAGTTAAGCACTATAGGTCTAAACTGGTTGAAAGGTTTTGAGGGATTGCCCCCCCCCCCCCTCCCAGCAACTGGAACAAAAGAAAAGGAATTAGATAGAATACAAAAGCAAAAGATAAAATAACTTGGGGGTGGGGGGTACTATCATGTATTAAAATCATGCTGCTTATTTGGTATTGATAGTCATAGGAATCTTAGACATGCATATATGATCTCCCCCTTTCTGCCATAAAAGGGGTGTTAGTCTGGAGGGAGAGAGAGAACATCCTGTCATCCAAGGATTTATTCAAATAACTGAGTTTTTGGTCATTTTTATAATTTTATATACTGTATACAACAATGACATTAAATTTTCTGTTCTTTTGACATATATATGGCCTATGTTTAAATATATTTTTTTGTCTGAATTAACTAGTTTATTATACATATAAACCAATAGGATTTAAAGTACATGTACTGTATATTTCTAACAGTTAATATTATCCCCCCCCCCCCCCCCTTTTCTTCTACCTTCTCTCTTCAAAACAAAAAATGAATTTAATGGAATTAACATTTGTGATGAAATGCAAACACATATGCGATCAAGAAAATGACTGTAATAAGTTTCTGTATTGTACCTATCTAGCCGTCAGAATAACTTGACACACCCTCCCCCTCCTCTCCCCAAAAGAAAAAAAGAAAACTCTGCTTGAACCACACATAGATATACATGCATTGTATACTTTGTATTTTAAGAACTTGAAAAAGAAAATCAGTAAATATTAAACTTGCTTTTATAAAATTTACTTTTTTACATTCTGTTGTTTGCAAAGCAAACTGCAAAATAATGATAAATTCTTTGTACACATGGTTATATTTTCAGAGAGGAGAAAAAATTCTTGTATTGAAAAAGAAATTCAGACTAGAAAATGTCAGTGCAGATTCTTCAAGGCAAGAATCGGGGAGGTCAGGGTCATCAGGAGACTCACGAATTCAGGAGACGGATAGTGTTCCTAAATCCCAGAGTGTCAGCAGTAGCAGTTCCAGCACTGATCAGGGATCAGAAATTCCAAATTCTAACCATTTATCCACAGCATCATCTGTTTCTTCAGCTGCCTCAACAGTAAGCATTAATTTACTTTTTTTTTCCTTTTTGTGCTTTATAATACTTGACGTACATTTTGTGAATTGTTTGAGTGCATTAATTTATAATTGATGTGGCCAAAAAGACAGATCACTTGGATGCATGATACACTGCCTAATTATAGAATTACCAAACTAAATTGTTTATATATATGCATAAAAAAATTCCGAAAACTCAAAGTGCTGATGATTATTTTTATATTATACAAGAAATTCACAATCAATATTATATAAGCTTCACTTTACTGATGCTAGAATGGTAAAAGTGTTTGGCTAATTAGAATATTCAGATATTGTTATATACAGGTATTCAATTACATGTAGTGTTTCTATAATGAGAATCTTTTGTTTTCATACGTAAGGTAAAACAAAGGTTATGGATTTTAACTGAAATTATCAAGTGATTTGCTGAAGTTAATTTTTCTTGATTAGCAGTTACTGGAATACCCATATTACCTATCAGACTACATACAAGTCACAGTGCACATTGAACATAATATTGTGTGAAAGTTTAAGGAGGAATGTTACACCAAAATTTCTTTTTATGGATCTTTAACACATCTCTTTTGAAACATGATTTCAGCATGGAAAGTAAACTGCTAGTTGCACCACTAAGTGGATCAGAATTATAATTCTTAACAGAGAGTAATTATTCCCTAATCATGCCAGCATAATTAGGATGGTATTGTAGATCACCAAATTTTTGTGACACCTTATTTTAGGAAGATAAGTACTAGGTATTCATAGTGAGACAAAATTTTCATGAATTCTGGTTATTGTTTTATATAATCTATACTAATAAAAATATAGGCAAGAATGAAATTTTCACAAGCATAGTAACCAACTTGCTTAATTATGCAAAAATAAAGTTTTCACAGATAAAAAAGTGATTTACAATATATATAAGATATATTCTGCAAAACTAGTCCATCTGTCAGTGTTTTTGCCATCTATGTTCATCATGTCCAGGCCAAGGTAGATTAATTTGTATTTTGCATGGGCATTGATCACAAAATGGTCCTTCACAAAATAGATATTCATTATTCTTTTCTCAACAACACCGTTATCAACCCCTATAACTCTGAAGAATTTCAAAACATAACTGCTTTCTAGGCTAATTTAAACAGTGTGCTGTTTTGTTATAATCTACAATGGACAGTTTAATGTGATATTAATAAGCAACTAGATGTCTCAAATCTATGTGAGCAATAAACAAGGATAAAACCTTGACGTGTTTGGTGTGTGATCATGTCTTCCTAGAAGGCCTAACAACATCACCAGAATTGATTATGTTATCAACTCACTTCGTTTTAACCCTTATTGTTACAGCCAAACAAGGTTACAGAGAACAGGCATAAAATGATTTCAGGCTAACAACAGAGTGATTTTCATTCTGTGTAGTTTTAATTTTTTATGAAATTATCGGATAACTTGAATTATGTTTACAATTAATCAAAATTGTTTGTCCCTGGCACTTCCCTGATGGTTTTTAAGTAGACCGTAATATTATGGTATTAAGAGTGGCTCGATGTTTGTTTCAGTCAAGTAGAGATCTTTTTTTTCAATACCAGTTTTTGTGCATGTGCATGTTCATGCCACAACAAGTGTGAACACTCCACAGGTACATTAAGGTTAGAGGGAAATGAAGCAGACCAGGAATGCCTCTCTTGCAAAAGGACATCTGCAGACTCAGACACTCAAGCTTACCATTTTGTCCCCCACGTTGTTCCTTCACAACCTCATCGATCATTTTATGTTCATTTGAGAATGAGCAATATTCTCTGAAAGTTACATATTAGAGAATTAAAAAGGGTGGGGGATGTCAGTATTAATTTTATTTGCAAGAAAAATACCTTGAACCCTACACACTTCCCCTTTAGAAACACTCTGATGTATTCAATCTTTTTGAGCCACACTAACCTAAACTGCTAAAGGTAAATGGGATTAATGAAAAAAATATCAGGGGTCAGTAATTCCGTAATATTTTCAGTTGTGGTATTTTCAAATCTTTAACCAGCCTTCCTTTCAATCAAAATTGTAGGAGGGTGTATAGGAATTACTGTGTCTGTTTGTCAAACTGTACTGGCTGTCAATATATCTGTAGAAGCAATATGTTAAACAAAACATCTCTCCAGGTTATCAAAAGGGTATCCAAGCCAACTTTGCAGATGTGGTACATCTGTTGATAACTTTATGAGATGCATGCTTTTATTGTGCTCTAACAAGGCAGATCCATTCTGTTTTTAGTCTAAACTTTAGTGTATGGAGAGTCGGTAATTCCTGTCCCAGAAATCCCAACCTTACTTCTTTCTTTCTCTTAAATTCAAATCCTTTTAAATTAGCATTTTAGATGGTCTATATTTAAATACGAAACAAGATGCTTTAAAAAAGCAGAGGTACCTTGCACTTCACACATGTTGCCTTTGATCAATACCTCTTTGCATTGTTGACATGATAAACTTATTATATCCACTGTTGAATATTTTAGCATGAGATACAAAATTTTAAAATGAAAGTTGAACGTATATAAAAGTTTTGTGAAATGTTTTAGTCAGTAATTAACCCCCTGCATTTTTCGTGACTATATTATAATGCTTATATATATTTTTAGCAATTTGTAGAGTGACTTATCTTTTTTTCCTGAAGTATCACAGTAAATAATACTAAAATACAAAAATATACCCACATACATATCAAAAACGAAATAACTGATTCAGATGCTGAAGTGCTTTCATTTACACTAAGTAATACTTCCTAATGCGAAGAACCGAGGATGCCAAAGAACTTCAAGCGAAGTTGTGATGGCAAGGCAGCAAAGTTACCTGCTCCAAAGGTTACCTGTCACTAGTCTGAAATCTGAAAGGGGAGGGGATTATCAGCATCATAAATTGTGATATAGTATTTATTTGAACTAGACAATTTAACTTTAATATTTCATGATATTTTCATTCATCTTTAAATTTCTATTTTTAAATAACTAGATAATACATGACAATCTTCCTCCAAGTTTACTGTAAAACGCAATTTCAATCTTAACTGTAAGATGCCATCCATAGGTCTTTTTTCGATGTAGTTTCCATTTAAGCACCCATCACGCGTTTTGCAACATTAAGCATAATTATTTTCAAAAACCCCAATAAAGTTTACTATAAGTACATTACATGTGTACTTCAGTTAAGGAGGTTGGATCCTGCTATCAAAAGTAATGAGAATTTTTTATCAAGTATATTTTTAGAATTTATACACATAGCTTAATTAAAAATCAAAACAAAAAATGGGGATCAATGCGCTTCTTTTGCACTACAGAGCATTTAGTTTGACCTTTTTGCACTGTAAATACGTCTTACACATAAACCAATTTTTAATGTTTTTCCTCCAATATTTTTTATTCAAATAAATTATGGGAACAAACACAGTCTTATTTCATCTTGAATAGACATATTAAAATTTCTAACAACGAAAAATATTTCAAATTACTCCGCATGTTCAATGATATCGATTTGACCTTTTTGCACTCAAAAATTTTCATTTTTCTGGCATTAAGAATTTAAAAAGCTAAAAAATCATTTGAAAGTAATGACAATTTACTGAATTTAAGAAGAATGGTTAAAAGTATCTTATATATTCAAAAAAGAAAATTAAAAGTTGGGGTCTGTGATGTTAATTTTTAGATATTACTAAAAAAGTGCTAATTTTAAGCTTAAATTAGGACTGTTTTTTTCTTGATTTTCACAAAATATTTGCTATATTTATCAAATATGATGATAGAATTCATATCAGTTTATTTATTATATAATTTAGGATCAGTATAAAACAGTTCACTGCAGAAAATAACTCTGTGTGCAGACTGCATGTAAAAATTTGAATCCAAACTTAACAAACTTTAAATACTTCGAAAGAGAAAAAAATGATCATTTTCTTCCAAAAAAAAAAAACCTTCCGCCAATATAGTTCCTCACTTAATGCTTTTGGTATGGAATTTAATAATGCAGTTTTAACTAAATATAGTTTAATTGGCATTGTAGAATCCAAATTTATTATAAGAATTAAAACATTATGCAGAATTTGTTAAATATAGGTTAAGATAAAAATCTGCTCAAAAGCTCAGGAGCGAACCTCGTTAAGATTTGTAATAGGATTCTTTTGTTTTCTTCTAAATCGTAAATCTACTTCTAACGTGAAGATACATGTTGGGTCATTCTGAGCAACTTTTCTGAGCAGATCCTTTAAGGACTTTAAAGAACACAACCAGGAAATGCTAATAGAGTTTTTTAAATACTCACTGATTTGCAATATTATGAAAAAAAAACTAATTTTCGCCAGCATAATGCATGAGTGTCGCGGAATGATTCTGAAAGGCATAAGGTACTAGTATTCCATTTCATTTGTCAGCATGTGTTGTACGTTATGTACATGTACTATCGTTATGCTGCGGCCGAAAAAAATGTTCATGTGTTTATTGTACGTACAAGTAATTGTTAATAGTAATATTTCAATTCAAAACTTGAGAGAAACGTACTGGTAGTGGTAACCGATGGTTGGGGCCTCGGTACAGGTGTCGTAACAGTATTTCACTTGAGGTTCACGTCAAATCATGGCTGACGCAAAATAATTCCTGAATCTTCCCTTCCGATTCGGGCATTTTAACACGAGACTGGAGCTGAATTTTTTTATGAGATGAAAAGCAATATGTAAACTTCCTATATTGACTAGATTCATTAAAATTTAGGGCGTGCTGAATTTTCTATATACTGTATTTGAGTGGGGAGTGATTAGGTCCTGGACTTGATTTTCAAGCACCTGCTCGACTTCGAGCGAGACAAACTTGCGTGCCTTGCTGGATGGCTATGTATTTTTTGGTACTAAAATCTTTATAAAGAATTGTTTTACAAGATCTGAAAAGGAAACTTCTCAAAAGTTTGTTTTCAATTAATACCATCTACTCAAAGTTGCGCATTTTTGGTAAGAATATATAGCAAAATTTAATACTGTTGTGCAACCTGCAGTAAAAGCAGATTTTATACTTCGAAATATTGTAGTCTATAATTTAAGGTTTAATTTCGTGAGTTTAGACGGAAAATGAGAAATAATGGCATTTTTTGACCGTCATTGCTGTTCGTTCGCGTTTAATGGAGCATAGAAAATTAGTCCAGATTTCCTCTAAAATAATTTATCTTGACCACACAAGGGCCTGATTTCGATGTATCGGATTGAGAGAAATGCATGAAAATTAGAGGACACTTTAACAAATACCTTGCCATCACACTCGTTAACATTATTTACTCATAAACAATTTCAAAATCTATCAATTTAAAGAATTTAGACTAAACCCGGAGCAAAATAAAAATTCTGAATATGTGTAAATATCCGTTAATTTGGAACACAGTGGTAACAGATAAAGAAATCTAGTTTGTAAAAAGAATTATTTAGGCAAAACAATCGTAATTAAGCAGAAAACGCCATGATATTTCAATAATATGTATTATTTCAATGCTCTTTTTAACCCCACCCCCCTTCCTTATGACAAAGACTACTTCTTTCGCCCTGTTATAAAAAGCAAACATATTTTAAATAATTTTTAATCCTTATGTGAATCAGTATGCATTAATTAAAAATCTGAGACGAAAAAACAACAAAAGTTCAACGCGCAAGATCATTACATACAGTTCAACTTTTGCCATATTTTTAGAAATCCGTGTTCACCGCGAACACCCCTGTCACCGAGTGTCGCCAATATTTTTCCTACCTTGAGACGGATTCTTATGAAACTTGCTTTATTACATTGAATATTCATTACAGATCGGGAAAATAGCATTATACTGGCAAGCAAAAATTTTCACTCTTATTGCAGGTGTCGTAACAGTATTTCACTTGAGGTTCACGTCAAATCATGGCTGACGCAAAATAATTCCTGAATCTTCCCTTCCGATTCGGGCATTTTAACACGAGACTGGAGCTGAATTTTTTTATGAGATGAAAAGCAATATGTAAACTTCCTATATTGACTAGATTCATTAAAATTTAGGGCGTGCTGAATTTTCTATATACTGTATTTGAGTGGGGAGTGATTAGGTCCTGGACTTGATTTTCAAGCACCTGCTCGACTTCGAGCGAGACAAACTTGCGTGCCTTGCTGGATGGCTATGTATTTTTTGGTACTAAAATCTTTATAAAGAATTGTTTTACAAGATCTGAAAAGGAAACTTCTCAAAAGTTTGTTTTCAATTAATACCTTCTACTCAAAGTTGCGCATTTTTGGTAAGAATATATAGCAAAATTTAATACTGTTGTGCAACCTACATGATCGGAGGTCCGGGTTCGATTCTCGATCCCGACGCCATGTCAGACCTAAGATGTTTAACATAGGTAGTGACTATTCCCTCGCAAAATGCACGGCATTAGAAATGAGGGTTACTTGTCTTTTGGACTAGACCTTAAGGACACACGCAACGTAGTTTTGAACTTTATTTTCTTATTCCCTGTATAATTTATGAATTCTAATAATGGAAGGACTTTTGTGCGATTTATGATGCTGGGTCATCTGAATCAAATTTTGAGGAAACACTACATAAAACTACATTTTTGTTAAAGTTTCCTAAAAAGAAACACAAGAATTTTTTCATCACTTGATACTATTTAAAACTCCCTCAACCTCCTTTATCACTAGGGCATGTTCAGACGTCAATTATCAATGTGAGTGTAAATTTGTACTACATTTCATTTGTCATTTTACCAAAAAGATCTCTAATTCATATGTTATAGTAGACATATCAAGTTGCATTTTACAATAAATGATGTTTAAGGACATGTACATCCCCATTCCAAGCTTTATTTACCCAGGAATTTTACAGTCCTTTCAGAAAATTTGATACAAAACTGGCGTTAACAAATTTGTATGAAAGGAATCACAGGACAGGGGCGGATCCGGGTTTTTTTTTGGGGGGGGGGAGGGGGGGCTGGAACCAACCTACCCCTCGACCCACCCATCTAGATCTGCCCCCCTGTAGGAAACATTTTCTTAGACTCTACACAAGTAAAAGGTGAAATAGAAAATATTTGTGTTCGTCAAGATTACATTTTTAAAAAAAATCCTAGTGCATCGATCGATCTAGTTGAAACCATTCTTGTGAGTACTAGTATGTAGACCTAAAGAGTGAATTATCTACCATGATACCATTTTCTACTTCTATGATTTTTGTTGCTAAATATTTGGCAGTTTTGTACTGATGTCGATAAATAAAGATTTCAGCATTAGTGTTATCACGATAAATTGCTTGGGGTTTGCATCAAGCACTTATGATTTAGCAGTATTGCTTATACTATACATGTATATGTAGACATATTAAGAGACACTTCAATCATGTAGCATTATCATTATGGTAGCTCAGTCTGCATTGTCATGTATCGCTTTGCTCCTCACCTACAAGCTAACATTGGCACATTTCCAGAATTCGGGACCAGTGACGTCAGAGGATGACGTGAATGCCTCCATTGTAAGCGTCAAAGAACGAGCACATCACCTAAATCGAATGGAGTCAGAAAGTGAACTGCAGAAAATGACAGAAGGTCAAAGAGTAAAGGGACAGCAAAGTGTAATAAAATTACCTTACAGATTCCTCCTCTCATGTTTTTTGTTGCACTTTGATAAATAAAAACTCATTATGGATGTGGTGAAGTAAATATTGGTTGATTTTATAGATTAGTTTCATTTCCCTTTTTTTTAAAATGCATGTCTATACACGTTCATCATTTTCCAAATATAATTCCGACTAAATACATGCATATATCTTACACTAAATTTTTATTTTTTGGTATTTTTTTAATACTAATATTCACTTGCGTGTAAAATCTCTTCTTTTAATTATGATTAGGATATGAACCATGTCTGCAAACCGCAAATTTTCCATCCTTTCCTCGATTTGGATTTTTAAAAAAAAATATTAGGTGACTTGAATTCTAAATAGTTAATTAGTTAATGAATAACCATTTAAATGCATAATTTTCATATTTAATTAAAGTTCTTTTTGTTACGATATGCTGTTAGAGCAAGAAATTGCAGCACAAACCAATAACTCGACTTAGTACGCATTTATAAATGTATGCTTGATGTATAATCATTATTTATCTATTTAATGCTTTATGCTTTAAATGGCTAAACTTGGCATTTCATGTTTAGAGATATTTGGAGAACATGTTAATATTCTGTAAACCAACTTTTATTCGCTTGCGAAAAATATCCGCGAGTTTCGCTACCTACTTTAACTCGCGAATATAATCGCTGCGAACCATTTAATTTGCTTTGTTTTATAGAGAATGTTTTCTCAGCCTCGAAAATTAATCTCCGCAGATTGATTTCAAACTGACGAATCGCAAATAAAAGATGAAGCGAATAATAGTTGGTTTACAGTACTAGTTTTTTTTTTTTCTAAAGGGAACTGCGCGTCTTTTATTTCTTAAATGTTCACTTCAATCGAGTCGAAACATACTTCATTTTAAGTGAAAGACTTTTACCTTATGGCTTTACACTGCAAAAAATGAGATAATACAGATTTGCGGGGATATGAATTGTTTAAAATCTGTGTTTCAGCCAAATGAAAAAGGTGATCCGGATGATGAATCAAATTCTTCTGGAAGCTGTTATGTTTCGGTAGGTCCAAGAAATACATCATTGAAAAAAAGACTCAAATTAAATTATCTGAAAAAAACTGACTTAAATAGAATCATTCTTCATAATCAAGCTTAAAGCTTATTATTAAGTTAATAAATAAACTTTAAAAATTAGTGGTTAGTTTAAAAGAATGGAAGTGAGAAATGCATTCAAATAAAACAAAATCACGAACTCCTTTTCATTATTGGAATCTTTTTTTATAGTTGGATTCTGAGGAAAAAGAATGGATTGTCGTCAGCTCTACGTCAGAGTACCATCCAATTCACAGAATGTTGACCAAAAATCCAACCTTAGTTAATGTGAAGGTCGGTAATTATTGACAAAATATAAATTTTTAAGACTAAGGCTTGTAAATCATTATTTACTTTAAAGTATGTTTGCTGAAAAGTCATTGAAGTCACTGTAGTTTTATCATTGTCAATATGTACAGTATTCATAAGCCCTAAGATACTGGGGTGTTGAAAGAAACAAATCTGAATCTACTTTACCTGAAGATACATACATATTTTATATTCATTGAAAGCCATTTGAAGTAGCCTTATCATGGTCAATATGTATTCATTTTCACTGGAAAAGTCATTTAAAGTTGTTTCATTATGGTCAATATGTATTTATGTTCACCGAAAAAGTCATTTGAAGTAGTTTTATCATGGTCAGTGTGTATTTATTTTCCAGGAATTCACGAGTGTAAGTATTTCTTTTTTTCAAAATAACCCAATGAAAAATAGTGAGTTCTTTTAGTTCAATAAAATGACAATTTATTTACACTGAAGTCTGTTTTGCATTGATATTTTTTTCTATTTTTATTTTCATATTATGTTATCCAGGGCGTAAGTATGTCATTTATGTATAAATAAAATCTGTTACATTTTTGTAACTGATAGAATTTTATTTCTCTAAAGCAAAAAAGCAGCGAAATTGGAAAATGCTTAATAAAACTTCAATTTTTCTTTCTTTTTCATATTTTTCACCATCTGAATGGAACATCCGGAACATAGTATGTAAGTAATTATATATTTTTTTTAATTTTGTTACTGGTCTATTAAGAATTGAATTGGCAAGTGAAACATTTCATTAATTGTACTATAATTTTAAAAATACAATTCTTATTAAATTATTTTGAGAAATGTCCTTGATGTCCCCAATTTAGAGTGTTTGTTTTATGAAAAACTTTGTTTGGCAAAAACTGTTTAGTCAGGTAACCAATTACTCTTAAAACACTGAACTTCACATCCGAAAAATGTTTGGATCTCAGTGACTTACAGTTGTAAATTTAAAGATGTTGCAAAAAATACAGTTTTCAGTTTCCATTGTTGTATGTATCATAACAAAAATAAAATACTGAAATTATAGTTTACTATAGTTAACTATATTATCACAGTTTTTACTATAGTAAATCGAAGTTTTTGTTATAGTAAATCAAAGTATTTTTACTTTGAATTTCAAAGAACTGCACCGTCATGGTAGCTCAGTCGGTAGAGCGCTCGCTCCGTGATTGGAAGGTCGTGTGTTCGAATCACGGCCGCGACTGACCTAAGTCGATAAAAAAAATAGGTAGCAACTGTTCCTTTGCCAAGCGCTCGGCACTTTGAAGTAAAAGTTGCGGGTCCTTCGGATGAGACCTTAAAAACCGAGGCCCCGTGTCACGGTAGGCGTTGGCACGATAAAGAACCCTCATTGCTCAATGGCCCCGAGTGCCGAGTAAAGGACAAAATTTGAAGCCCTTCACCGGTATTATGGTGAAGTCTCTATATGAGCGAAAAATTCTCGAACGGGACGTAAATCAACATACAATCAATCAATCAATCAAAGAACTGCAAATGATATTGTCCGCCACCTACTTCTAAGTCAATTTTCAAAAGTTGAGATATTTAAATGATTTTTCACTTTACATGAATATTAATAAATGGTTTTTTTCCCCTCAAAATATAATTTTTGGGAAAACAAAGAGAGATAAATCTTTAAGGTTGGTAAAACTTGTGTTTTTCACTATAGGAATCAATGGAAAAAGGGAAAGAGAAATTTTTTTTTTAAAAGAATAAGCATCCCCCACCCACCCCTCTGAAATAAAAGTATGCAATTCATACAAAAGTGTTTGTTGTTTTGACAGTCAAGAGCATAGCAAAATGGATGAAATTGTATACTTTCCTTATGAAAAGATTTGTAATTTATATTAATGAATAGTTAAATATTTTATTTTCTAAAATTGTTTTTATAACAACTTGGAAAAAAGATATTAGATGATTAAAAATTCTGAAATTTATTGTATTTGCTCAAACAGACTGCATTACATTGGGCAGCAAAACATGGAAAACCCGAGGTGATAAAACTATTGGCTAGTCAACGTGGCGTGGACGTCAATAAGAGAACGGTAATGGAATAGTTTCGTATATGTATTTTGTACTGTGGAAAAAATTCTAAAATTTGTTTGATTTTTTTATCAGCACTGCAAGAAAAATAATAATAATAATAATAATAATAATAAAAATAATAATTTGTTTTTCTTTTTTTTATTATTGCTGTCTACAGAATGTAAGTATCACTTAGAAGATATGTACTTTTTTGAAGAGAACACAAGAAAACATTATTTTTAGTAAAAAAATATTCAATTTATAGTAGATTTTTCAAATATAATCAACAGTGCACAATGTTTTTTATTTACATTGTTATTTACATTGTAAAATTCAGTCACTTAGAAGTAATTTATTTGGAAGACATGAGTTTTTTCCCATATGTATATTAAATACAATGACATTGTACAATGACATTTGAGGAACAAAAGATTCATTTTTGTGTCTGTGCCTTTCTTTGAACTTCCAAGCATAAAAACAACTTAATAACATTATATATGGTTTAGAATGTGGGTGAAGTAATTTCAGTTGTTTAAAGGCTAAGAAAAATGCTGAATCATTTACAGAAAATTTAGAATACAAAAGTCTCATCGTTGATTTCTTTCAAAAAAGTATCATTAAACAGTTCTTTATTAAAAGTTTTAAAAAATCTTTCAAGGTATTTTCGCTTGACTTTGTGGAATTCAATATTTATGTTAAGAGAGTTAAAACAATAGTTTTAAAAAATGTTCCATGTATTCTAATTCTAAATGCTTTCTATAAATCATTTTAAGATGTTTTCTTATTTATGTTTCAATGTTATTTCTTATTTTCTTTTCATAAAATTCGGGGAAAAATAAATAGGGGGTAAGTAAACTTACAATCTTATTCAAGTCCATATTTAATTTTTATGTATCAATTACCTAAACTTATGTGATATATTCATTTTAACACAGGGTTACACTGCATTACATCTCGCTGCAATGCATGGACATGAAGACATAATAGAACTTCTAGTCTCAACTTACAGTAAGTTTTGAAACCTATTTCATAATTGTAAACTGAAGTACAAAATTATAACATAATGGTAAATGCAACGTACCTATAAGTTTCTAAGAAACAGGTGTTTAGTTGAAATGGAAAACATAACAATGCACTCCACCTTACCTTTGCAATTTTAGCTCACCTGTGCTTATGGCTAAAGTGAGGTTTTCTTGCCATCTGTTTTCTGGCGACTGTCTGTCTCCCCTTTCCTTCCATTCATCAACTTTTCAAATTCTTCTCTAGAGCTAATCGGTCAGTTTGAACCAAACTTTGAATATCTATGAGAAAATTTTTTCAAGAACAGCAGAGCAATGATTATTGATATTAATATGTAAGCATTCTCAGATAGTGCAGATTCAACATAGTTCTAATCATTACCCCCTGGAGAAAGGATGGGGCCACAATAAGTGTTAAAAGTTTTACACAGGGATATAAAGGAAGATATTTTTTAAAATCTTGTCAAGGACATCAGGGCCATGATAAGTCGTATTAATCATGCAAGCATCATGAGGTAGTGAAGATTTTAACATATATTGTTCAAGTCGTGTGACATTAAAAGTTGAATTTGGAGATTTGAAAAGTATCCATCGGATACAAGTAGTAACCATGGGGATCACGAAATTTACAAACTATGTTCAAGTTTTTCCATAGTTTGAAATTAAAGCAGATAATTTCAGTTAAATTTTTTAAAGTTTGTTCAGAAAATTCAGAAAAGGAGCAATTTTTAATGGAGTAATTCAGAAAATAAAATGCAATTTAAAAGCAGAATTTTTAGTTTAAAGCAAAATGGAAGATGCTGAATGAAGAACAGATAAAGGTTATATGTGTAGGTGTGCAAAACAAAGTAAAGATCAGAAGGCAATGAACTGCGTAGATGAATGAAACATAATGAATAGTTTTCATTTCTCAATGGCTTCACAGGGATTAAAACAGCACTTGAATCCATCTGAGATGCAGTTTGCATTGTTTTCATAGATTTCATTTCACAGTTAACCCACACTTTACGTGTTGATATTCAGATATTCATTTTAAGAGACGTTGCTCTTGTAGCAATTTAGCCATCATTGTTTTTTTTTTAATCTACTGTTTCCTGTTACTTAGTTTCTCTACTGAATTAATTTTACGTTTCGGACATTGCATTAAACAGAGAAAGAAGAGTCATTAAAAACGGAGAATAATGTTTTTTGTAGAAGCTGATGCCAATCTCCGAGATTACAGTGGAAAGAAAGCTAAACAGTATTTAAGAAATACTGCCTCTACTAAAGCTCAACGTAAGCATTTAGCCTCTCTTTCCTCCTACTCTGATACTGTTGATAGCGGTTCTTTTACAGCCTGTCCAGAAGTTCAGAAAGCGGCATTACGAAACTCTCTTAATATAAACGTTACCGGAAAAGACAGAACGTCCTTAAGAAACTCTCTTCAGATCGTTCATTTAACCATGAACGAGACAGGAGAAGGTGCTAGTTTTACCTAATGGCTTGTATCAAAAAAAAAATTCTTGCATGTTGAACACGTATTTAAAAGAGAATTGATATTTCCAGTTTTGTGATAATAATTCAGGATTGTTGTATTTGAAAATTATTTTGGTTTTGTGGTTGTGTATTATTTCTGTCCCCTTATTTATTACTTAGAACATAAAAAGAGATATTTTTTATTATATTTTTGTCCACTGTTATTAATTTACACAGGTTTATTTGGAAATGACATTAATGTAATCGCAATGGGAGGTAGGTCTCGGAGCATTATGTTCAAGTTTTCTATGTGTACATAATTGTATGAATTAAGCAGTGGTCTTTGGTACTGAACCAAGATAGCTTAGTACACATAATCAGGTTTGGCATTTGATATTGATAAATACTAATCAGTAGTCTAGTGAACTCTGCAACTAGCAGCACTTTGTCAGAGCATGGCTTTTTTCCCCTTTATTTTTGGTGTCCGTTTTCACTTACATCTCTATGTTAATCAGATTTAGAGATTTTTTTTGTAAAAATCCTTCTTTTTTGTTTGAAAGAAATAGAGATGAATGAGTTTTCTATTTGTGCATAGAAACGAAGTTTTTTAGTAGAGTTTTAATTTATCTTGTCACTTGAATATAAGTGAATTGTTGCAAGAGTCATCTTAAAATTCCTTTTCCATCACAAATGAATTATGAAATTCCAACTATACATAAAAATCCATTTTTAATGTTTTCTTGCATCTCGATACAAGTACACAAGTATCTCGAGTTATGAACCTTAAAAACAAACATTTTTCTAGTCAACAACCCAACAGAGAAGTTAAACATTTAACAAATATATATATGGAACTGTTTTTAATATTCCAAATCATGTTGTTTTCTAATTTTGTTGTAAGAGTAAGTTTATGTATTTTTATGTTCAGGTAATGATATTGTCTACATTTTTAAATATATTTTTATATTTAATTTTTTTATATGTATAACATTTATTTATTGGGGGTACTTTTAATGGATGAGAGTATATAAGAAGAGAAGTTTGTGAAATTTAAATATTGCTTTATCTTTTTTATACACCCGTTTTAAGACTGACGTATTATGGTACGGCGTTCATGTTCAGCTGTTTGTCTGCCCGTCCGTCCGTCTGTTAGATTTTTCATGTCTGGCTCATAACTTGTATACTATGAAGCTATAATAATCAAAGTTTGTCAGCTTTTACGTGTCAGCTATTTTCAAAATTAATATTGTGTACGACATTTTTTAATTTTTATTCTTCAAAAACAAATATGCAATTAGATATACAGTTTAATAATAAAACGTAATGATTGTACAGTATTTTGATGATTTATTAGGCTGTGGCATATTTGTTCATCATACATAAAAATAATGAGTGAAGCTGCAGACTGGGTATTTGTGTAAACTTTATCCAATGCAGCCAGTTGAGAAGTATCAATGTACAATTTGTTCTAATTAATAACTTCAGCAAAGGAGATGCACATCAAACATTATCAATGGAAAAATCATTGAGATTTTTATATTAAGGTTTACATTATTTTCTTCAATGCATATTTATCTGTTTATGATAATTAAACATTTAATATTTGACGGGTGTATCATGTGCAGTGGCGGTGTACTTTATTAGAAAATGTTATGAATAAAGCTACATATGTTAGTAGGTAATCTAAATCTTAGATATTTTACATCAGCGTCTACTAAAGATGTTCATTTTAGAGGTTTCCCTTAGTATTTATCAGAAGTTGAGCAAATTATCAAGGGTCAATGGCATTTAGTTTTAGTAATAAAACTTAAATATGGAAATTTTTTTTTACAATGCAATGATTTTCATTAAAGCTGTGTATTTTTTTCTAATGGTTCATAAATCAATCTATCTTGAAAAAAAATATTTTTGGTATGTTAATTTTTGGATTGAAGAACACTTTATTTCATTATTTTCTCTTTGTTATGTATAGTATATTAAGAATAGGAAATTATTGTTCATATACATTATATGAACATTTCATAGTGGCTATATAAATGTGTAATCTAGATTAAATTAAATTAATATCCATATTTTGATACCAAAATAATTTCAAGTAGGTCGCAAGGAATTCATGTTGTGTAAAAATCACTATGCCAAAAAGACAAGAAAAAACGAAGCCCCCCCCCCCCCCCCAAAAAAAAATGCATGGGTGTTTATTGACAATGAGAACTTGAGATGATCATGGTCTTTGACGAGCTTTAGGAAGTTTTTATTTCAATCTTTCAATTTTATATTTCAATTATGTGATATGAAAATGCTTAAATCTTTGAAATATAGACAGTGTACAAACACTGATAAAGTTGACATTCCATTAATTATCTCCTTATCATTGTTTCCTGTTGTGAAATGCCTCATCACTGTAGAAGAGAAATATTTGATATTTGGAATAAAATGAATTATTTCCATTTGCAGTAAACAGCAGAGTGAATAGATTAACGATACTGTAAACCAATTTTTCTTTGCGACATTTTTTGTTTGTGATTTGTCAGTTTGAAATTGATCTGTGACAAACAATTTTTCGTGACATGGAAAATATTCATCAATGCACAACTAAAGAAATCCTTCGCGGAGGGATATTGCGAGTTAAAAAAGGTTATCAAAATTTGGAAATATTTCTCGCACGCGAATAAATGTTTATTTATGTCATTTAACATTTCCTGAATATTTCCTCTTTCATTTCTTGTGGTAATATATTGTTTGTTACCTGAAGCAATGCGTACAATTTTACGTCTCAACTAGTCAAATCAGGTTTATTTAAGCTATCTGTTACTCCAAATACGACCGATTCGAGGCTCTTCCATCAATATAATTTTTGGATTGATGATACAATTGCTGCCGTATAAAAAAGTGAAAGAAATTATTTTATTATTTAAAACTGTTATCTGGTTCTCTTGTTATTGATAATTATTTAAATTACATTAGAAATCATTAAGACGTATGATTATGTGAAGTGTATAAGTATTAGTATTTGCTTAGATGTTTTTGAAATCTACAATGGGCACATTGCACGTAAATGTTAAAGTTTCATCGCCTTTAGAAATGATACACTAGTGTTCGATATCAGAATGTTATACTTAATGTGGATTTTTAATGAAATTGTCAGTTAACTTTTGGGAAGCAGAAGAAATTTTTGGCAGGAGTGTATAACCCATGTCACAAGTTCATACGACAGGGTATGTTTTAAATAATATGAATGAATAGTTAGTATGTGTCAAATACATGTATATGTCATTCGTCCTGAAACATTATTTACCCGAAAACAAATTGTCCTGTATTTTACAAAAAAAAAAAAAAAAAAAAAAAAAAAAAAAAAAAAAAAAAAAAAAAACAACAACAACACTGTACAATTATTTATTTACGAACTTTTTACAAATTCTTTTCATTGGAATTTTGTTACATGTACTTATTGTTATATTTTATTTCAATATAGCTATCCATTTGATGGAAAAAACTAAGCAGATTATTTTTTAAGTATTATAAATTTATTGATATTTAATTGGATTGTGCTCTATCATTAGGCTCGCTGTATAGGAGAGGCACAATGAGGCACAAGGATCCTTCAGAGGAGGTCTTTCTCTATTCTCTTACACTAACAGCCTGAACTCCTCAATACTAATAAGGAATGAGGCAGTTAAGGCAGAAAAGGCATTCCCCATTATATTTTTGTATACGAAAAACTGTTTTCTCAAAGTTGTTAGATTAATGACTGTGTTAAGATACATTACTTTATGTCATTTAATGAGAGCTTTCGAAAAATAAAAAAAAATGTTGTAAGACTATTTTTGTTTTTAATTGAGGATTGGAAAATGATGCCAAAAAGTACTTTGCTATTTTAACAACTTACGTGCTTCTTGATCCCAGGCATGGTATTTTCAGTTTCATTTCATATAGTGAGCTATAAATTGCATGTTATGTTTCCTGACCCCATGTGTGTGTGTGTTTTTTTGTATTTTATTAATTATCAGGCATATACTACAAGTAAGTTAATAAGAAGTAAATCTTGACATTCAATTTTTAATCAATATTTTCTTTTTACAACACTTCAAGTAAGTATGATCAGATATTCATCAGGTATTTTTGTAAATTAAAGAATATCGCAATTCATTTCATTTATTTATACGTGTAGTTTTGCATCATGTTATTCATAAATTGCTTTGTTTATTATTGTATAATAATTATGATTAAGTGTCATTTTCATATTGTTTTGAATTTCTTGAGTTGAAATGGGATATTGACTTTACGTAGTTTGTTCATGAGTTGGTCATATTATGTCATCCCGTTAACCTCCTCATTTTCAACAGAAGATTTTTAGGGAAAACAATTGAGCTCATTGGGGAACAAGCGAAAAGATTTGGTGATGGGCCTCTAGAATTGATATTGTCAATTAACAAATAATGTTGTGTAATTTCCTGTACGGAATAATCATTTGGGATAGAGAAACCTTTAAATTTAAATTTTCATCTGTTCTATGACGATTATTATTGTGGAGTTTGTTGTTATTTTTTCTTTTTTTTTTCTAGACGTAGGATGTAGCTTTAGATTAGTTGCTCTGTTTTCTGAACACTTTGATTTATACAGGTTTTTTTTTGTGTTCACCTTTCTGCGTGTGTTTTGTGCATATTAATTTCAGTTCTCTGACACCTTGTTTACAAAACCCTTATTAGATTGATGTCCTCACTCAATTCACAGTCATTGTCCATTGTTAATTTTTACATAGTATCTAGGTTTAAATAATCCGGCATACTTTAGTAGGTTCTTTTTTCATATTTTTAGTAGGTTCTTTTTCATATTTAGGGTCAGATGATACAAACAAACTTTTTCTCAAAAACCATGAAAATACATGTAACAACTTTAGTTATATTTATATAATTTTAAAAGTAAATGAATAAGTTTAACCATTTATTTTTAATCAAAATTTTACAAGGTACTACAACTTGATTAACATTTAAAGAGATTTATAAGGGTGATTGCAGTAAGATAGAATTTTGAACATCATAGAAAGTTTACAATTTCTTAATATCTTAGAAATTTGATATTTTCCTCCTTTACAACCAAAATAGGTCCAAAAATATAAACGAATCCAGGCATTCATATTTTGGTTTGTATCATCTGTCCTTAAATTACAAATCACTGTCGAAATATTTGATTCAGATAGAATTGAGATGACTTGTTTTACTTTTTTGCTTCTACATATTTACTCAGACTCAGTAAGTATAGGGTATATTATATACAGAGTGGAAAAGGGGATTCAGAAGCGCAATTTAATCGGATATCATAAGATAAATGTATTTAAAATTTTAAAAGCAATTTTTTTCAAGACTAAATTGTTTCAAGACTAAAGACTTCAGAATTCATTTTTTATCCAATGCATCTCCAACTAGAAGATTAAGAAAGATCACTAAAAGCTTAGTTCTTGCAATCATGAGGGTCAAACCATAGCTGGTATTGCAGTGCACGACTCTGAAATTTATATGTTTTATCAAGCCTCTTATTTATTTCTTTTCTCTTTATCTCAAGCTATCTAGCATTTACTTCCACAAAGCATGGCACCATATTCTGAGTGTTTTATCATCTGTATTATGCAAGTATATATTTTAGTAAAGTCAGTTGAGCGTAATAAATTATGTAATTGATTACACATTAAATAATTATGGTAATTTATGATAAATTACATGTGAGCTGAGATTTTTTAACAAATGCAACTTATTAAGGATGCAGGTAAGGGATCAATATTTTGATTTGCTAACAAAACAGAACTACGTGACCATTTTTTATAAATTTAATAGAATCATCAGATGCAATTCAAATAATACTTCATTTTTCTTCCAGAATTGTTATTATCAAGAAAATTGGGATCATCACTTGGTAAGAATGCCTTGATCTATTATTTTATTAATATAATACAAATTAACGGGAGCATACTAATCTGATTAAATTCAAAATTTGGGTATTTCAACAACAACAACAACAAATAGAAATTTCTGTTGAGAGAATCTGGGTTTGTGGAAAAACTGAGATATTGTTTGATAATTTCACAATTTCAAACATTAATAGATTTTGCGATAAATTTACGAAAGTGTTTCAGATGCTTTGCTATAATGCTTTGGTAATTGGATGTAAATATAAATCCAGCAAACAAATTTAGTTCAAGGTACTGGTATTAAATATAAGTTCAAAGTCAAGATTATAGAAAAGTTTATATACCCTCTTATATTTTATACTTGTCATTTAAACATTGAAAAAAATGTTTTGAATAAAAAAAGTTCATAGGAATATATTTTTTTATATCTTCACATCTCTAACTTCATTAAGATGCTCTATATTTTCAACTACTGAGGTTCTCCTTTCAGATGTTGGTTATAGGTTTTCATTTTCTTGGTCTTGACTTTATTTAGGCTCTGTTCGATCTTTGGACGATTCTTTTACAAGGAGCGCTTCTTTTAGAAGAAGCAAGCAGGTAAAGGCTATCAGTAGTCTCATCCAGGGTTCCTCTTCAGGGGTCAAGGCTATGTTTAGAACAACGTGGGCAGGATCAGCTGATGATTTAATTCGTAACCGTCAGTCTCGCTCTCGAAGTCCAAACTCTTCCACACCAGGAAGTGGAAAATCCTCTCCAAGTCCTCAACGAAGGGAAACGGTAAAGCCACATTATATACGTTGTAATTTTCGTTGCGACAAACTGTTAGTGTTTTTATGTATGTTGGTGCTTGAATTTTTCAAAAACACGGTTATGCATGGGCTCACATCAACTTTACACTAAGTATTAAATCTAGATAATGTTGGGCTTAAACTTTGAGGCATGTTGCAAAGGAAAGGGCATAAAAAAGAACCATAGGTGGCAGGGTACAATCTAGATTTGTCTACTATGTGTAAAATTACAATTATACAGTCGTGTTTGATTACATGTCGATCGTTGCTATTGGCATCAGCATGCATGTAAGTAAAAATGGAATAATGATTGTTTAGATAAATTGAAACACGGTGAAATGTTTTTAAGGGAAAACTAAGCTAGTTTGAATGAATTTACTTCCTTGCTATACATATTATTGAAGAAATCCATGGTTCGGAATAACCGCCGCTCCATATATTGTCAGTTTATTAATGTGAAGCGTAAACTCAATCTTTCCGACCTATGTTTAACTGCAATAGCTTCATGAATTATATTCATTCCCGAGCTGTGAAGTACTAGTATGTGCTGACCTAAGATGGTTTATTTTGCTAATGATAACTTATTAGAGGATATGATTGTCATTTTCTTTTTTAAGGACAATCTTTGATTTTGGAAAAAAAATATCCTTACCTTTGTCACGACTTAAATAGTTTATTAAATTAATCTATACAGTTTAATAATTGATTTTTAGCTCACCTCAACGAAGTTGGGTGAGTTAATGTACATGTAATACCCTACAAGCCCTATCAGATCAAAATTGCATAAACATTGCATCTAGGGATGCACACTACTAGATTATTATTTTGATTACCTATGTTTATTTTGAAACATAGATAATCAATTGCCCAGTTCACGATTCGTTGAGGTGAGCTCTGTGATATTTTGATTACCTATGTTTATTTTGAATTTCAAGAGTGCATATAAAAATATTTCAATTTTACAGTTTGCAAGTAGATCAGTCGATAGGGAATTAATGCCACCTCCATCTGCTCCAGTAAGGAAGAGGCGCGAAGCTCAGTCAGGTAGTGATGGAAACCTTGCTACCGAAGATATAACAAGGTACACATTAAATACAGCGACATAAGCCAATAATTGATTTTCAGTGGAATTTTTTTTTGCCCTGTTCACGATTTATATTGTTTAGAAGATTTTTTGCTTGTTTTCGTCTCCTTTTTCGTTTAAAAAAATAGTGATTTTGGAATAGGGAAGTCCGTAATGGCACGTTCAAAGGAAAAAATATTGCATTTAAACGCAAGATTAATTCCTTCTTAAAATCTCTAAAAACATCCTTTGAAGTTTTCTCACTGGCCTCTATTATTATTAAACTTATGAGTATTTTATCATCTTTTGTTAATGTAAAAAAGCTAGAAGAAATAAACGAAGTTAATGATATGTATATATAACATGGCCGTAGGAACGGGTAGGGGGGGGGGCACGTTTTTTTTTTTTGTCTTTTTCTTTTTTTTTTTTTTTTGGTCAGGAAAATTTTGGTAGTGCCCCTTCTACTGTCAACTGAAAATGTATGGCTGTGCCCCCCCCCCCCCCAACTGAATTTGCTTCCTATGGGCCTGTATAAGGAAGACTTAATAAATGGTATTTATTGACACATTTCCTCGTTTCTTGTTTCAGAACGATCTCGGAGCCCTCTCTCAATAGTGGAAGATTACCAAAGACCTACATATGAAAGTAGTTCGAAGGAAATTGCTTTCTACGTTCAAGTACCACAAAAATAAATATTAATTTGAAGTAAAATGTTTTCTACTTACAAGTTCCATTTACATCATTCATGGCATTAAAAATATTTTGCGTGTAATACTGTATATATATGCATAATTATCATTTCAGAAAAAAACAATTTTGATCCATTTTATTGTGCAATATTGATGATCTTTAAAAAGTGAGTTCGTAGTTGACACAACATTTCATTATGACTAGAATATGTAGAAAAGTGTATTAATTTCCCTTTTATGTCATGCAATTATATAACTTTATATATACACAGTCTGTACAAGTTCAGTTCAAACATCAGCTTAGACATTGGCATTCAAAGCAAACTACCACACTGTAGTATTTTCATTGTTTATATATTTTAACTTTTACTTGTTATTTTGTTTTTACTCAATGTTGACAATAAAAAAGAAGTAGCTAATGTGCCTATTGTTTTACATATAGCTTGGCTAAGTTGAAGTGACTTACTGTCGATTCGTTTATACATCTGTTAACTTCGGAAATTGTTGACTTTTTTTTCTGAAGTTTAAAGATCAGTGGAGCTAAGGCCAAGGCTATGTATGGAATTCGTATAAAGATATTGAATTAGTATAAAGATATTTGCCTGAGTGGTTTAGGGTCAATAAACTCCAAGCTGATGCATCTTCATACATATATGAGGATATGTGTGTTACATCCAAAAGTTAACGATGAATTAATTTTGGAATTTTTGCGTTCAAACAAACTTTTTCAGCTTATATATCTTGGTACTGTTAACCAACTTTTATTCGCGTGCGAGAAATATCCGCGAGTTTCGCGACCTACTTTAACTCGCAAATATTAATCGCCACAAACCAATTATTTTGCTTTGTATGTGTAGGGAATGTTTCTTCATTCGCGAAAATTAATTGTCTCGGATTGATTTCAAACTGAAGATTTCCGAATAAAAGATGACGCGAATATTAGTTGGTTTACAGTATATGTTTTAAAACCAGAAGATGTTGAAAAATCCTCATTTAAGAAATTATTTGCCTTATTAAAATATGTTTCATTGATCAACTTTTTTATGCATGTCTCTTCCAAGGTCCATTCCGCAAGAGGTATGGTGATTATAATATATATATATATATATATATATATATATATATATATATATATATATATATATATATATATATATATATATATATATATATATATATATATATATATAAAGCAAAGAAAAATGAAAGTGTAAGATATTTGGAAGAATATGCTTTTGATGAAGAGATCACTTCATTTTAGAGCTCACACTCTCCAGTAAACATTGCTCAATGAAATTGTACGTATAATTTTGTAGTAGAGATATAGTACTCCTACCTAAGGTCAGTAACTTGTGCGATGTTTTGTGCATAAAATACCACAGGTCGTTCAAAGAGTGGGATAAGGTGGGCTCTGGAATTTCAAATTAATTTTGTTTTACTTTACAAAAATCAATAAGCAAGTAATATAAAATGTTTATGATGAGTATTTTGATCAAATACTGCAGTTGTACAAAGACTATTAAATTTTAGAATAATAATACCATTGACCGTTACTATGAAAGTTCAAAATATCAAAATATCATCGAAGCTTGTCTAAATAAGAGTAAAAATTATAATTTCATTTTCAGTTGAAATCGGTAAACATAAACGTGAAGTTGAAAAAAGACATTTTTAGCTTACCTCAACGAAGTTTGGTGGGTGGGGGGAACTTATGAAACACCCTCGGCGTCGGTGTCAAAGTCCCAGGTTAAAGTTTTTAGAGCAGATTTTCTGTTCAAGTACTTCTATGCCCTATATTGATAAAAGAAGCATGGAGGATGCTTCTAGTGTGTTTCATTGTACCAGTCAAGGTTTCAGATGCTGCAATTCAGCTAAAGAATGACCAGGTTAATGTTTTTTGGAGCAGGTTAAATTTTTTGGAGCAGGTTAAAGTTTTTGGAGCAGGTCTCATTTCCAAGTCACTATAAGCCCTATGTTGACCAAACTTGTATGGATGATACACCTATGGATGCACACGACCAGGCTTGCTTCGGATGCTGGATTTGACCTACATTTTCCGGATGAGTGATCAGGTTAAACTTTTTGGAGCAGATCTCATTTCCAATTAACTATAAACCGTATGTTGACCTAACTTGCATGGATGATACATCTAAGGATGCACATTACTGGACTTGCTTTGGATGCTGGAACTGACCTACATCTTCTAGATGAGTAATCAGGTTAGTTTTTTGGAGCAAGTCCATTACCAAGAAACTATAAGGCCTATCTGAACCAAACTTGCAAGGATCATGCATCAAGGGATGAACACTCTCAAACTTGCTCCAGACTAGTTTAATTTTTTTAGATAAGTCCACTCTCTAGTAAGTGCAAACCCTACCAGACCAAAATTGCATAAATGTTGCATCTAGGGATGCACACTAATAGATTATTAGTTTATTGTGGGACTTTGCCTTACTTAAAGACAACATTCGTTGAGGTGAGCTCTGATTACCTACGTTTTCTTGTTGCTAATGCATTGCTATTGAGAGAGAAGGAATTGCATGTGTATGATATGTAAGTTTATTAGAATCGTTGTCAACAAATCATATAAAATGAAACGCCAATGAAATTCAAGAATATTGGAACAAAATAAAAACATATCAAAACTGTAAATGGAAAAATGGAGTGGGTTTAGGTAGTTTATTTCTGTTATAAGATTAATTAAAACGGGAATGACAATATGCATGCAATATATATTGAAAAAAAATTAGATTTTCTTGACAAAAACATTCCCTTAACAAGTAATGTAAAACCAACGATTAAAAAAGTCAGAAAACTGCAGTAATACAAAATGCTTCAAAACTTTACATAAGCACTTGTTACATGCTACGAAATAATTTTCATATTTTAAAGATATTTCTTTTCATACTATCATCCTAACGTATCAAACTTGTATATTTAAAAGTTTTTAATCAGTCATCTGTTGTGAGACGTCGTATTTTTGACATTTAATAATAAATTGCTGGCATTTTCCTAAAATTCATCCACAACAAAAAATACCATTTACTTATAATTTAATTTTGGTTGTAAAGCGTCATTTGATTGGATAAAAAAAAATAGAATATAGCGTATAACCTGGGTTGCCTACGTCACAATGACTTACGTCAAAAACGCATCAATCCGCTTGACGTTACATTTAAAATACGTACAATTTAAAGGCATTTTTGAAGGAGAAATTGTTTTATTTTTTACACTTAATGATGGGAAATTAAATTATAAGGAATGACTTTAATAGATACCCAAGTTATACTGGTATAACCTGGGTTGGTACAGTTTACGCTTTTTTATAAACCGCTTCGCGGTTGATAAAGCGTAAACTGCTCCAACCCAGGTTATACCAGTATAACTTGGGTAGCTATTAAAGTCATTCCTTAAATACACAATTTAATTTATGTGGATAATGATGCTATGTTTGTCACAATACGTAACTTCTTTAAGCATAAAAACAACAAATTTATTCGAAATTATAGAAAAATAATTTTATTTTGTTTGTATTCTAGCCTCTGATTGGTTAATATCCAAAAAGGAACACAAATTATTTCTGTATAACCTGGTTTGGTATGGGGACACATCCCCCTGACAACCAGCTGAATCATCCGTATCCATACAATCCTCTCATTTCCAATCCTCGGGATTCATGGAAAATTCCAGATTTAATAAATGTACCTTTAATTTCAAACAATAATTCGATCTCACCACATGTAACCAAACAACATGGCTGCTAGGCCTATGTATCAGTTTTTACCTCCCCTCGATTCCCATCACTTCCGTTACTTCCGTTACTATGGTTGTATTATTGAGCGGCAAATTTGAACTAATAAAAAGTAACGAAATTTTACACCCATAGTTATTTAATGATTTTAAAATTAAATTATAAGGAATGACTCTAATTCTTGGCCAAATTATTCGAGTATAACCTGGTTTGGGTCAGTTGACGCTGTTTTATAATCCGCTTCGCAGATTATAAAGCGTAAACTGACCCAAACCAGGTTATACACGAATAATTTGGCCAAGAATTAGAGTCATTCCTAAATTATTGAACACACATAATGCATGTTAAAAACTTATTTTCTCAAGAAAATCTCATTACTTTCGACACGTACATCGAGATATCAAGCATTTAACAAAATCTCGATAAATTGAGATTTTTTGAATTTATTATTGACAAATCAAATCAAACTCGACACCATTCCAACGGATATGTAAATTTGTAGGCTACAATGCTTTCCTTGCGTTTGATGCATGAAACATGTTCAATCATTTGAGACTCAAATATTTGATTTATTTCTGTAACTGACCATGGTGCATGCACTGTCCTTGTGCACACATTCTTATGATGCAGCAATGTATATCTAACAACCGTGATAAAGTTTCCAAGCTGCATGCAAACTGACAATTAATTTCATTCCACTTCAAATCAAATTGTTTTAAATCGCATAATCATCAGAAGTGCCATGACTTTTTCTAAATACAGGACATTTGTGTACTACGTTTACTTTTTGGCATCATTTTCCAATATACTTCATTTAAAAACAATAATATTACATCTGATAAAATATATTGATTTTTAAAGCTCACACATGTATTAAATAACGTAAAGTAATTATACCTCTGCAAAGTCATTAATCTAAAAACGTAGAGAGAAAACAGTTTTTTGTGTACAAAAATATAATGGGAATGCCTTTTCTGCCTTAACTGCCTCATTCCTTATTAGTATTGAGGAGTTCAGGCTGTTAGTGTAAGAGAATAGAGAAAGACCTCCTCTGAAGGATCCTTGTGCCTCATTGTGCCTCTCCTATACAGCGAGCCTAATGATAGAGCACAATCCAATTTAAATATCTATATATATATATATTAAAAACAATCTGCTTAGTTTTTCCATCAAAGTGATAGCTATATTGAAATAAAATTTAAGTACATGTAATAAAATTCCCATGAAAAGAATTTGTAAAAAGTTTGTAAATAAATAATTGTTAAGAGTGTGTTTTTGTTTTGTTTTGTTTTGTTTTGGGTTATTTTTTGTTTTGTTTGTTTGTTTTTGTTTGTTTGTTTGTTTTTGGTAAAATACAGGACAATTTGTTTTCATGTAAATAATGTCCAAGGATGAAATGACATATACATGTATTTGACACAAATCAACTATTCATATTAATTTAAAAAATACCCTGTCATACCAACTTGTGACATGGGTTATACACTCCTGCCAAAAATTTCAACTTTTTATTTCTTTATTAAATATTTATTTATTTTGGGTTGTTAAAATGATAAGACACAGATGAAAAGATGGTTGTGATATATTAATATATCACATCTATCTCCATTTCTTTCAAAGAAAATGAATAATCTGAATTTCACCTGGTATAAAAATCTCCAAATATAGAAAGCATACTAGGCGAACATGGGCAACAAAATAAGGGGACAAGAGCAAATCTCTGATAAACTACTAATACAGCGTAGTTGCCGAGTTTACTTAACTACTGATTAGTGTTTTTTTTAATGATAAATATCAAACCTGAATTTAACTAAGCTAACATGGTTCAGTACTGAAGGCAATTTGTTTCATGAATATTCATGTTACATTGTAGCATTGAAAACTTCATCGTACTGCTCTGAAACCATTGTGCTCACATATTTGTCATTTCCAAACATCCCCGTGTAAATTGACAGCAGTAGATAAAGATATAATTTTTTTTTAAAATTCTATCAGGGGACATAAGTAATACAACTACAAGTATCCAAATTACTCTCCCATTAAAAAAATTATTATACAACCAAAAAAAAAAAAAAATAAATTCTTTTCAGAAATGTTTTAGATATTAGTTTAACATTTATGAAATTTTTTCGTAGCAAAAATCATTAGGTAAAACAAAAACCTTTCCCCATCTAGTTCATGGTCAAATAAACGATCTGAAGCGAGTTTCTTAAGGACGTTCTGTTTTTTCCAGTAGCGTTTATATTAAGAGAGTTATATAATGCCGCTTTCTGTTTTTTTTTTTGCAGGTTGTAAGAAAATCGCTATCAACAGTATCAGAGTAGGAGTAAAGAGAGGCTAAATGCTTACGTTGAGCTTTAGTAGAGGCAGTATTTCTTAAATACTGTTTAGCTTTCTTCCCACTGTAGTCTCGAAGATTGGCATCAGCTTCTGCAATAATATAAATGCTCCATTTTTTTAATGGCTCTTACCATTTTAATGACATGACTGAGCCGTAAAATTAATACAGGAGTGATGTTTAATTTTATTCAAAGAGAATTGTTTCTAACAATGATTGTCTGAAATTCAGCACGTAAAATGTTGGTTAAGTGTGAAATGAAATCAACAAAAACAAAGTGATATAAATTGAAAATAGGCTCAATCATGCTTTAAGCTCTATTAAGCCATTATAAAAACTGAAATTGATGTAATTAAATTGTTAATCATTAATGCAGTTGAATGCCTTTTGCCCTTTACCTTGTTTTTCACACCTACACATTTCATATTTATCAATGCTTAAGCCTGTCGTTTCTGGGTTGTATAAAACTTAAACCTGTTTAATGTAAATTTTCTTAATTTTTCCATTAGAAGCAGCATCTTCTCTGAAATTATTTGAATCAGTTTCAATCAATTTTAGATTATATAAATAAACATCTGTAAAAGAAGTTTAAAAAATGTATATTTCATGGTCTCCATGGTTACTTCCTGGGAACTGAAATATAGGGTCAAAACCATATTTTTTTTTTTTGAAAATCCTTCACAAGGGCCATGCTTAATATAAAGCAGACATCGCCCCCCCCCCCCCCAGGATACAGTTACTCACACAATGAATTAATATGGTGTCAAAAACATGATGTATATAAAAGGTCTTTGTCCTTTGATTTTTTCCCCCTAAAACCAAAAGGCTTCTTCCTCTAAGCACCGCGTACCTCTTAACAAAAATCAAGTCATTATCATTAAATAGTGTCTACAATTTTTTTTAACACACATGATATTGTCTTCTGACATTATCCTTGGACTTTGTGGCCCTCATATGCATAGACCTGTTTCTTTTGTCACCTTTGACCTTTACGGCAAGTTTCATTCTGAGATGTGAATTTGTGCTCTAAAAACACTGACCCTTACAATGCCTATGATCCTCTGATCCTTAAATAAAATGGGATGTTCTTCTGTCAACTGTACCTCAGCAAGATGAAATGGGCTTAGAGATGAAAGTTTAAAAGAGATTTTGACTTGACCTGGTCCCGGGATCATGAAACGTCTTAAGCTTAAGTAAAAATCTTTAGGTTGTATTAAAATGTTGAAGAAGTCAAGCAGTCCAGAATGAAAATAGTTTTCAATATTGCTTTACAAAAGTGTTGTTATCTGCAAATTAAGAGATTTATTCAATAATAAATAAACATTTAACAGGCGATTGAAAATCTGACTTAAGTCTAAGTCTGCTTCATGACCCTGGGGTCTGATGACCATCAATAAGTAGATGTTTCTCCGTTCATTTGTCATTTTGTAGCTTTATTGAGTATACATGGTAAAGTGGTACTCAATATTGTGTCTTTAATATTAGTATGGACTATGGAGATACCATGACTTTAGCCTTGACCTTTAAACTTAAGACCCGCATATCAGCAGACTTCAGACCTTTGTTGCAAGTTTGAGACTAAGAGGCCAATTTGTACTCTATATTCATTTAGCCAACTAAATGAGATGGCGCACGAATGCATGAACATGCAAGTTTCATGTTCTACATCCCCATGCAACTGTGTAACGATATGAACAGCAAGAATCATGTTGTACATCCCCTTGCAACTGTGTAATGATTGAATGAGAATTTCTCTGCCCCTTGACAACAACAATCAGGCAAGCTGTTTGTATGACTGAAATAAAAAAAAAGATCCTCTATCAAAAATTGTGAAATTTATTAACCTCCCCTTTTTTCAATCTGACCCTGAGTGGAGCCTAAACGTTTGTATTTTGAAAATAAATAACATATATGTATATTCAGAAAACTTTATGTCAGACTTTGAAACTGCTTGCATGATTATCATAAGAAATAAACTTCCTAAATTGTAAACATGCACGAGCCCTGAGTTCTTATTGACAGGTTTTGGTATAATTGGTCTTAAACTGAAAATAAATAAGATATTTGAAAATCTTTATTTTAGATTAACTAATAGTGAAGCATTTTTGCATAATTATGAAGAATAACAAGTAATCTATATCCAAATTGGGAATTCATGATGCATTGATCCAAAATGTAGAGTGTGTAGGAAGGAACAAGTTTTCAAACACTGAAATATTTTATCTTTGAAGATTCTTTTCTTTTAAATCTAGGTGACAAATTGAATGACTACAAAGAATACGAAATTCTCCACCAGAATAATGAAATAAATGAATGAACAGGCAAAGTCATAAACCTTACCAGTAGATTGATTTCATCATTACTTAATTTTCAACAGGATATATGATTTGTCTGTTTACATTCTAACAAACAAACATTGTCAGGAAAATGTTTTATTTTTAGAAACGTAATTATTTACATAATGCAGTTTCCTGTTTAGCACACTTAGAAAATCAATGACCTATTACATAAAATCTTAGCATCGCTAAAGCTTTATTAATACCTAGATTAAAAAAAAAACAAAAAACAAAACAAAACAAAAAAAAAAAAAAAAAACATGCAATTTTATTTTCAAATGAAATTCGGAAATTTACTCTTGAATTAATTGAAGACTACTCTTTAAAAATCATAGGTATATGTAAACATCTTTTTCATTGAAAATTTTTCTGGCGATTTAAATATCAAATTATAACTTGTTCTTCAATTTTGTAAATGTTATATGTGTTAGGACTTACTGTAAGTTGACACTAGAAGTTCTATAATGTCTTCATGCCCATGCATGGCTGCGAGGTGTAATGCAGTATAACCCTGTTTTAAAATGAATATCTATCATGAGTTCAGGCTATCTTTTATGTCAAATCTAATCAAATCTGAACTAAAACAAGATTATTTATGTACTTACCCCCTACAGATGATTCCGATTATTATGAGAAAGAAAAGAAATAATAATTAATCAGGTAATTACGAAACTACTTTGTATCGTTAAACCATCTAAAATATATAATACAGGAAACACGAAACAAACTTCATCAACAAAGCAATTAACATGTACATGTATATGCATTTAAGATGGAAATTAATGTAGTTATCTCATGAAAATATTAATTGAGTTTTAGAAAGTACTAAAAAAAAACTAAGCTGTTTCTTGAACTATTTTTTATAAATAAATGAAATTGACAATGAGGCTTCTGCTTTCTAAATTTTATGCAATTTCTTTATTGATTCTACAATTTCTTCTCCTTTGAATACATTAAGAACTTTGCCAGTATCCCCATTAATTTTAAAATTTAAAGTTTTAAATTTTAAAGTTTTCATTGCATGTTTGAGAGTTCAAACAAAGAAATGAACATAAAGTACCTCTAATCCACTTTTTTTTCAAACAAACAAATACAGTACAAAATTTGATTTTTTTTCTACATTAAATGTACTGAACAACAATTTGAGATATTAATAATTTGAACTGATACTTACATTCTGTAGATAGCAATAAAAAGGGAAAATATTATTATTATTATCATCATCATCATAATCATTATTATTATTATTATTATTAAAATTGCAAAGACTTATTTTAGAATTTTTTTTTATCAAAACAGTGCAAAATATTATAGATAACACAATTACCGTTGTCCTATTGATGTCAAAGCCACGTTGACTAGCCAATAGTTTTATCACCTCGGGTTTCCCATGCTTTGCTGCCCAGTGTAAAGCTGTCTGTTTGAACATGATTAATTTCAGCATTTTAAAACAACTACTCTCTCTCTCTTTCTCTCTCTTCGAAGTTGAATAAATGTTAAATATAATATATAATATTAATTAATTAATTATTTGTTGTAGTTTACAACGTAGAGTTTTGACGACTAGTTTCAAATAACAATTCATTTGCGATTCTAAGTCGAGAATCTCTCAAATATTTTTTAAAAGTGAGAACTATAGTAGGTTAAGAGAATTTTTTTTGCTTGAATCAAAAAGGTTTTTTGCCCAACAAAGTTTTCCTATAGAAACAAACATATCTTAATTTAAGAAACCTTGGTATTAATCACAATGACTAAAACATCTAGAATCTATATTTTTTAAAAACACAAAACATTTATTAAAAAAAAAAACACTTCAGTGTGTAATTCTTCTTATTCTATTTAGTTGGTTATGCATCTTAATATAACAAATTGTAGATGTCAACTTACATACTATGTTCCAGATGATCGATCCCAATGACGAAGAATATGAAAAAAGGAAGGCAAACAGTAAAATACGCTTATAACGAAGTTTAATGTTGTTAATTTTGAATTTACTAGGGGGAGGTAAATGCAAAATTTACAATAGGATAACTAGTTATCATGTTGTAAATTTTGCGTTTACCTCCCCCTAGTAAATTCAAAATTTACAACATGACAGAGGAGCCAGGAACAGACGATACTGCTTCGTTAATTCGATATATCCGTTAAGTTTACTATATAATTTCAGGCCACATGGAAAGAATATTTCTTCGTGATGTGCGTTAATTCATTATAAGGGTGTTTGCTATAGGTGTGTTTTACTGTATATAGTAATATCACATAAATGCTACATCAAATAAATAAAGTTTTCAGAATAACATGCTTTTAGAAAGAAGTAACATACTTACGCCCTGGATAAGATAACATGTAAACAAAAAAGAATAAGAAATTTCAATGTCATCTAGTCCTTTCTTTATTGTATACATATTTTAAAACCCAATAAGTTTTGTCACAATGAATAAAAATGTCAAAATACTTACAATACTCGTAGAGTCCTGGAAAAAAATATTGACCATGGTAAAATACTTCAAACTACGTTTTCAAAAACAAACATTGAAACAGATTATAATTTTTTACATGAAAAATTAATGAAGGTTATAGTCTTTATATAACTGGCATATAAAACTTGATTTTTTTTTCTCGATACTAGTGCCTACCTTTACATTAACCAATGTCGGATTTTTTATCAACATTTCGTGAATTGAATGGTACTCTGATCTAGAACTAACAATTATCCATTCCTTCTCTTCAGAATCCAACTAAAAATGTCGATTTAATAATGAAGACAAGTATATGTTATAGATCTTTATGGCATTTAAGGATTCATGGTATTCAATAAGCATTTAAAAAAAAAATTGATCTTCTATCTTTACATTGGATTTCTTGCGTCATTGATTCACTGCCTACCGAGACATAAAAACTTCTGGAAGAATTTGATACCCCATCCGGATCTCTTTTCCCATTTATCTGAAATATATGTACTACAGCAATTAACCCTGTATCTAATCTTTAAAAATCAAGAGGCCCAAAGACCCTAACGGTCACCTGAGTATAACTGTAACCATGTACTTTGCTTGTCTGCGAAATACCTAAGAGCAGAAAAAGATTTTCAAAGAATATTAATTTGCATTTTCACTTTTTAATCAATAGAGCCCAGTCTTAACTCCAATACTCTTGATTTAAGGGCAACCAATTTAACAAGTCTGGAAGAGGCACTCTTCCTCATCATAACCATGCACTTACTTTGTCTGCTTTATATACAGGGTAGAAGATTTTTGAATTTAAGCCTTTTTACTATATAATCAATGGAGCCCCCCACCCCCAAACACCAGGACCCCTGACTCTGGGGCTATTAATTTCACAATTTTGGTAGAGGGCTCAACGCTTATTACAATCATGGCAACAGTCTGAATGCTTGATGTCAATGAGTAAAGAAAGAAGTTTTTAAAGATTGTGTTAATTCTAATGTTTTAAGCCCCACCCTTAAGGCCAAAGGAAAAAGGAACAATGAAGTTCACAATGCCAAAATTGACTGAAATTGATTCAGCGGTTCCAGAAAAGAAGCTAAAAATGTTCAAATCAAAACGGACGACAAATGACGGACGATCAAGACAATAAACAAACAATTAGCAACAGATCACTGCATGGCTCAGGTGACCTAAAAATTCACAGTAAAGCAATAATCCATTAATTCTTTCTCTTTTTGATAAAATAACTGTTTAGATTCTTTAGGGGGAAAATTAAAACAAAGATACCTGTTTTAAGCAATGACATTAACAGATTCGCCAAGCCTCTCGACTGATAATGAGTAAGTATAGTATACGTTAGGGAACTTTGCGCTGTTATTTCTTTTTTTATATTGAAACAAAAACTTTATATATATATATATATATATATATATATATATATATATATATATATATATATATATATATATATATATATATATATATATATATATATATATATATATATATATATATATTCATAGTTTTTGTTAACCTTAAGTAGGACGATAATGCATCTATTCAGTTGAAGAGGCCAAAAAGTACGAGCAAAATGGTTTCTGCAAATACAAAATTATAACAACTTTAATAAAATGTTTCATTTTAAGCAAGACAGATTTTTTTTTCAACGTGATTGATTGCGGTTGGCCTGGCTATTCTGGAGAACAAGATGAAAGTCTGAAACGTTTACCTCGAGACAACAATGGGAATAACGCGGACAGACAACTTGGATCTTCGCTCAGGGTAGCGAAAAAAGAAATGTAAAATAGCCTGAGAAGACCGTTATGCATTTCGCACTACATTTGTACATAGTCCCTATTTATTTAACTACGTAGAACGTTAACTGCAACAAAAAGAGCATAAGAGGAGGAATCTGTTATAGAAGTTTTATTACACTTTGCTGTCTCTTTACTCTTTGTTCTTCTGTCATTCTCTGAAGTTCCCTTTCAGATTCCATTTCATTTAGGTAATATACTCGTATTTACTCGTGTTTAGACTCTTCCAGTGGAGACTTTGAGTCATCCTCTGACGTCACTGGTCCTGAATTCTGGAATTGTGGAAAATATTACCTTGAAAGAGGAAATCATGAGGAGTAATGCATGACAACGCAGACTGAAGTATGCTACATGATTACATTTTTTTTTACATAACAATTAATGTATATATTTTAAGCAATAATTCAAAAGTGTATGTTTAATGCAAACCCCGAGCAATCTAGCACAATAGCACTATTATTGCAATTTTCCTTAATCTTTACAAATATTTCAACATCAATACAAATTGCCAAGACTTTAACAAATATGACAGAACTAGAAAATGTTGATATATGTAACAACTCTTAATTATGGTCTACATACTAACAAGGATGAAATGGGTTTTAATATAGTGGATTAACTAGGATGTGCCTTTGCAAATATTCGGTCTATCTACAGACAATTGTTCTTTTTTACTTTGTGTTCATACAGAGTCTATGAAAAGGTCTATGACTGCTTGATAACAGATTTTAAGAATTTAAAATGTCATGAAAAACATTTCCAAATTCAAGCTTGGGTACATGTTTAAAAACAAAGCCTTTCTTTTATAAGATCGTTTAATGCAATCGCAAATTAAACGCATTTCCCTAGAAGGCGAGGTGCCATAACGCCCGTTACCAATTTAGGTGTGTGGCACCCAATGATTGTTAAATGCTTGTCTGACATTTGTCATTGAAACAATTATTAAAGCTGCGGCCTTTATCGTCCAAAAACATGTTTTGTTGATTTTTCAGAAAAATATTCTATTAATGACCACAGCTTGATATATCTCTGCTTGGAAAAATACGTTGTACGGTCCATTCACTTTGGAAAATGACTCATGAATTATTAAAATGAGTTGTCTAAATACCGGTACTTATGTTTCCGTTTACTATCAAGTGCTAATTAAAACCTAAAAAGATCTTTGGTATAACCTACATGTAGTTAAATATAAGGATGATCTTGCAGAAGCAGCAGTGCTTCAATAAATCGGAAACTTTTATACTTTTTTCCAAAACTAATGATCGCATTTAATTCAAATTTTGATTGAAATTCATTATTTCCATTACCTTGTAAATAAAGAAAAATACATGAACACATCACCTGAGATAAATTTTTGATTGCAAACATTAGCATATAATGTCGCACAATTTAAAACGCACTTACCTAAAATACAGAATTAAGCACTCTCAAGACTGTATGCCTTTCAGAAGTATTTTCTGACATCCATGCATGTATTATGCTTGTGTAGTTCAATTTAATTTTTCATTAAATTGCAAACCATTGAGTATTCATTACTCTGCAAGCATATTCTGGTCACGCAATTTATATTCTTATTTTGTCTACTCGGAGTAGTTTCCCAGCAGCACCCAATGCATTCCTTGACCTCAGAGGTAGATGTCCTGTTTATGTGACAAAATAGGTATATCCTTGCACAAAACATGACTGAAAAAAGGATTTGGTTTCAACTTTGTGGGATTTAAAAAGGATTATGCAAAATGTTGCGTAACTAGAGAAAAATTGTGTATGATAGGTGTTTAAATGGAAACTGATCTAGCTACATTTGAAGATGAAATTTCTTTTTACAGTATACTTGGAGGGGGAGGGGTCACTTGTTACTTAGTATTTCTAATTTGTTTCACTCAAACAAATTTATGCATTTTGAAGAAACGCTTGTTTGCAAGCAGGCAATATAAAAGCTTACTTTTGATGGTGTTGGAATTCTTGTCATGTCCTACTGTGCAAGGTCATTGAGAATGGAACTGACATACAGCTGTTTAGACAATAGTGTCATGAGAAGATCATTATCGATACACATTGAATTGAAATTATTATTTTTATAAAGCACATGTAGTTTTCAATGTATCCCTTAAAGGTGCTTGGACACAGATTTGAAGTTAATATTTTCTCAAATTTTCTCTATAATTTCATGACTTATATGTTGCTCTAGCATTTCATACTAAAATATAATAAAAATCTTATTTCATCTCGAAGTTATTAAAACTTCGAATTTCTGGACGCGTTGGATTGACACATCCTTGCGCTTTCACATATTTTAATTTTATTCTTAACACTTAAAAAAAGTGGCAATTTTATTGTGTATTAATGAAAAATATTAAAACTATAACCCAGAAAATCAGAGTAGAAATGTTTGAAAGGAAAACCCACTCACAGTATTGTCCGTGCTCAGTGGTGTGTGCAGAGTTTAACAATTGAACAAACCCGGTGAATCGTAAACATTAACAGTAACAGAGCTCGTGCCCTGTTTACAAAAACAGTTTACGTTTCACGGGTGTGTTCAATTTGTTAAACTCTGTACACATCACAGAGCACGGACTGACAATACTGGTGAGTTGGTTTTGCTTTTGAACATTTCTACTCTGAATTTTCTGGATTATAGATGTAATATTTTTCATTAATACATAACAAAATCGCTTCTTTTCTTAAATATTAAGGATAAAGTTAAAATTTGT